GTATAGGTCATTCACATGCATAAAAGTTAGAGTTGAATCTAAAAGTGCGAAATTCAGGTTAATTTTAGTTTTAAATTTGTCTTTATACAACAGTAAACTAAACTCTTGTTTCATGCAACTCAAAAAGAAATATTATAATATCGCAAATCACTGGTAATGACAGAAAGTCTTTATAGTGACACAATGGCTGAAAGTAGAGAAGACACGGTGAATTAATTTTGTCAGAAAAGTCGAGATGTTAATGAGGTTAGCATGACGTAATCGCACTGACTTGTTGTGCTAGTCCAGGCCCTCATTTATCCACAGTGATATCATTGGTACTGTAGCAAACCATGATGGGGGTGATGCAAGGTGAGTTAGCATGCGTTAGACTGTAAGGCATCAGCAAAGAACTTCGCCATGTGGGTTCATGCTAGCTGTAAAGTAGGGTAAGAATGCCATGGGAGGCAAGAATATCATTGTAAAATATACTTTGAGGAGGAAGCCATAGCTTGGGACAAACTGAATGCACAGGCAGATGACAAACAGGAGCCCGCCAAATGATTAAAAACTGGGATTGGAGAATCACCAACCTGGCTTATCAACTCAAGGAGCCCCGATGGGCCGCGTTCCACCTGATTTCTCCGCGAGTACTCATCTCCAACACCAAATGGTAAGGGGGATGGACATGTGTGTGGGTGTGTGTGTGTGTAGGAGTGGGGGTTGGGTAGCAAGTAGCGATGGATGGTGGATTGAAAAATTGAGGTAAAATTGTTTTCGAGGGAGTTCACTTGCATGAGCGAATCTGTCACTCCCACGTTCGTTTGTGGCACAATGGTATAAGCATGTCGTTTCAGTTTGTTACAATTTCTTCAACCATATGTCCTCCTGGTTTTAAAATATACTTGAGGAACAAAGGTGGTTTTGTCAAACTAACAGTCTCTGGTGAGTTACTTGGACCTTGTGGTTGCTCTTGTTATATGGATGTCTGTCCCATCAGTTCCTAATAAAGGACACCTCTGGCTCCTAAGGGCCAGATTCTGGCTACTGTTCTGTTAGGAACCTCAGTCTCCAGCCAGCCAGTCAGTCAGCCAGCCAGCTATCCTGGCCTGAGCTACTGCCAGGGGGAGAGACCAAGAAGAGGAGGAAAGAACACCGACTCTCCCAAAGAGGCAGGACAGATGCCAAAGTAATTCCACAACATGTGCTGACATTAAACATTACTGCATATTAACTTTCCATATGTATTGCAAGTCAGCGTTTTTGCGAATGCCCACAAAGAAGCCCTAGAAAGGCTCTTTGTCTTTGTGCTGTCTGAGGATTAATTTGCTATTCTCGTATTTCATCTTTCCATTCCGTTGGTGGAGATATGTGAGAGTAGACGTTAGACTCCTCTCACGCCGCCAGAGAGCTTTCAAAGGGAAAAAGATCAGAGGGTTTCCATACCATATTTCCATATTTGCCATTATGTTGGATTGAAATGTTTGCATATGAAATTACTACGAGTCACTTTCTGTCAAGACTACTGACAGATTGTTAACAGTCTATGACATATTGGCTCAAGTGACATAAACAGCAAAACGTATTTAATAGCTATTAAAACTAATATAAAGGCACAAAATCAGACATGGAAAGTAACAAAGTTATTTAAGTACGGCACTTAAGTACACTTTTGAAGCACTTGCTTTTTCCTTGGATAGATCAATTTATTAGACTTTTACCAACTTAATCGCATTACGCTATTTTTATGCTTCTTGCAGTTAAAACGTTTTGAACTATTTTATATTGTTGTGCTCTTCTTCCTCTATTGCACTATTATGATGTTGCACACGTAATTTAAAACACATTTACTTACTGCTACAACCACTGCACAGAGCTTTACATAGGTTTACAAGATCCTACCACAACCTCAACACAATTATAATCACTTAAAAATATGTGATGTAGCATTTTAATGCCTAATTACCAGGGACTTGGCAATCTCCCAAATTTTGCTTTGGAAAAAGTGCAGAGGCTTGCTGTCAAAAAAGCCAAACAGCAACAGCCCTGCTGAAACATTTATGGGGAAATATTTAGCCATGAAGTGACATTTGTTCTGCTCTGTGCCCTGCTGTTTAATGCATTCAATTAGAAATTGGAAATTAAATAAACTTTCCTGTGTGCTTAGTTTTGATATTTGCCAAATGTTAATGAGAAAATTGCTACTGAGGTAATTGGCTTAAACAAGCTAAATTACAGGCTAAATGCAAGTAAATGAGATCTGGATTTGGATCTTATACCGAAGCCTGTAATGAGTCCTGACATGTCAATCTGACAAAATACACTACAAATGAGAGATAAAAGCATGGCAGTCATCACGGAATCAGAAAGTCCAAAAGTTACACAGTCAAATAGCATACACAAACAAGAATAACTTTATTCAGTTTATCAATACAAAGAGTTCAGTGTCCATGTGATGACACTCTGACATTAAATCATAATACTAATCGCTGTAATATAGAAAACCAATAGAGATATACAGGTTAAAGAGGAAAAGGAGGAGATAAAGAGACAGAGAGGGATAGTTTATGTGAGTGGACTGAGGCCAAGTGCTTTCATTTACCTTGAGCATCTATGGAGGCAAGCAGGGCTGCAAAAAAGGCAGCCGTGGCCAGCGACAGCCGAATCTTCATGTTTGGCCCTTAAAGGTCAGCAGAGCATCAATCAGTCTGAGGAGAGAGACAGAAGATATGTTTAAGATGCAGGTCTATGACATATTGTGGCGTTACTAGGCACCACATGCACATGGGGGATACATTTAAGTCTGATTTACTGCTGCATCAAGATAGCCAGATTTCGCTAGAGCTGAAGAACGCCCAGTTTGCCTTTAACTAAAAATATATGTCTTTATGCAACTTGTGCAGTGGACCATACTGCTCGACTGGAATCAATATCTCCTATTATATAACCATTATTTTCCATTATGACAGTCTGCAAGATCCATCTAGACTCACTTACACAACAAGTGCCACACCTTGCTGCCTGCCAGTTGATTCCCACACCCTGAGGTGGGTACTTACTGTAGGTATTTGGTAGTTAGGGACTGAAAAAACATTTTAACACACGCTCATTTGTTTGGTTTTAACAAGCCTAATCTGAAAATGCATTGCCCTCAAGGTGTCCTGATCATTTTAGCGGGTTGCTATGCAACTCACTACACATGGTATAGTCTTACCTGTGGTTCTCATTTACTTTAGACCTACAGGGATGGGATCTGGGTGATCTTAGACGGTCATAAAAAACTTTAATTTTTCATGTATTTGAAGGTATAAAATATTACTGGGCACCTTGATTACTGCCCTCTTGTACAGATCACATTATATTTGTATCTCAAATCTTATAATTGCCTTCCTAACTACTCTTCTTCACTTAGACTAGGTCTATTTCTTTATGACTGAGTTAGAGTCAATCACAAATATCAAAGAGGGACTTTCACATGGACTCATCTCAACCCATAAGTGCACTTAAGAATAATAAAATGGAATAGTCATGCAATGGGTTACTCTATCTATGATAGAATCTGTAGACCACCATATCCACACAGTAACGCCGTCTCTATAATCTTTACTACAGGCTGTGCGCCCCGCCTGGTGCACAAGCGCGAAAACTGCAGCTGCAGGAGCTGAAATTAGTGCCCTGGCCCCTCGGACACAATTGGGGCTCATCTAATGAAAATCACCGAATTACACGGGAAGCACAATAACTGCCTCTGCCCTGCTGCTACTAAAACAGTGTGGTTATGGCGTTTCTTATATTTTTTTCATTTCCAATTTTTATTCAATACTGCAACTGTGCACCTATTCTTAATTTTTTTTTTTACAAAAAAACTATTGATAAAGTAATTTAAAGTTATCAAGCCTGTCTTAATTGTCTTCATCTTTTAAAAAAAACAAAAAAAAAACGCATGTAACTTGAAGTGATCAACTTATTGAAAAAGTACAAAACTCCTCTTAAATTTAGTAAAATGTAAATTTATTTATAATTCTAAAAACGCAAAAGTCGCATTTAAAGAATAAATAAAATTAGTTTACTCACCTATTCAACCCCCCAAATACAGGACCGACCAAATTGCAGAGCAGCCTGCTTGAAGCCTCCCCCTCTGGAAAGTAAAGTCAGAATTTCAGGAGCTGCAGCTGGACCCCTCTCTCCTCTCTCTGGCTACTGGAAGCTCCGCCAGCAGATGTCCAAGAAGGAAAAGCCTCTTTCCAAGTGGGAAGAATCTTTCCACCATCGGCTACTTAATAGGGGGGCAGTTCCCAACTCTCAGTTTACCATCATATGGGCATCTTACGAAACCTCCGCCTGTCACTTGATAGATGTCCCCCGCTAAGACCGATCCACTGTTTGGAAATTACATTTTTTCCTGCATTCTTTTGGTCTGGTGATTTTATGAGTTTCCAGTGCCAGTGTGACTTAACAGCAGGGTAACAGTTGGCCAGACAACAGTGAGGGCGGGAGTGTTTTATATGCGCAACAGGCAACCTTATCCGATTTATTTACTCAGATGTCAACTCAAATAAAAGTTGATTTTTTTCACTTTGTAAATAGAAACTTCTTGGCTCTTGGTGTCATAACATGGATATCTCTCATAATGCGTTCAGGATGCTTAAAGAAACAAAATCAAGCGTGATAATGTGAGCCCATATATTTCTGAAGTTTATTTATAACGTGGGAATCGATGGAAAGTGGACTATTTTGGGGAGAAGTATTTCAGACGCAGCTCACCCTGCTGCCACAATGAGGCGTCTAACTGATTGGGTTATGGCGCCCTCTAGTGGTCAAACTAAAGACCTGCACTACATACAAGTTGGGATTGGTGAGGAAAATCGAATACTGTGACTAAAAATACACAAATTACAAATGGACTGTTTAATTGAAATGGGTCTTGATCTATTTACTAAAACATTTAACATCAATATAAAGGTTGTAGCAAAATCTACCAAACATCTTCAGACACAATCAAGTCTCATAAAATGACACAATTTCACAAGATATACATTTTTATTATTATTTGCAGCTCATCATTTGTACAATCAATAAATATTTCAAAAATAAAACATACTATTGATAGGACAAATAATTTCCCAGATTACAAATCTGAGCAACACGGAGTTGATAAGTTACATACAGCATCTGCATGATTGTGCCGTCAAATAAATACACCCCATCCCGTGTCACTGTGGCTTCTTGGGCATTGCAGCAGTTAGAAGCTCGTAAACGACATATCCACTCCCTGCGGAGAGATCAGACAAGTATTACAGATGTGACCAAGATACAACACAAGCTAATTACCCTGACATCAAACGATCCCTCGTGACGCATCATGCAATTACAGTAATTTGACTTTCAAAGTCAGTCGCAGTAATAACATTGGGGTTAGTTCAGGTGAAGTGTGTTTTTATATAAAAGACAGAGCGAGGCAGGTGGAGTAAGCCTGAGTCATCAAATCTCAGACAAATGCTGACATACCAAACACAGTGAGAGTCATTGTGGCTCTGTAGAGCACAGCGTCCTTCGACCCACCCTTCAGATGGATAGGCATACCGTTATCCTCCTGTTTAAAGAGCAAAGATAAAAGGCATTTAGTTAACTTGAAAAGACAGCTTTACCTCAAGGATATGTGAAGACTTCATGTGCTTCTGTTTCTATGTTATTCAAAGTTTCGTTGAGCTCATCTCTGGTTAACCATAGCAATTAAGTGGTGGCGTACAGTACACTATGCCATAAAGCAGTGCTTGCTTTGGGATTTAGAAGCAGGGATAGCCCATTTGTCAACTATGGCTACAGTAATTTCTAGCACTATGCAAGGATCAGCAAAGCCTGCCACACTGGAATGTTGATTTTGCAATGGATTTTTAATTAGCTTGCAAGCATAATTAGTATAACTCCAGCCCCAGCTACAGGCGAAGGTCATTTTAACATTGTAGGGGAAATACCCATACTTATCTGTCAGGCTACATAGAGGATAAAAATAGATTCTGTCTCCAGAACCTGGGAATAAAGTGGAAACTTTAACATTATCAGTATAAATCTTTTTCTTTGTCTTCAAAAACTGATAAATGAAGAGTTCATATTACAAGTCAAACAGGCACATAGTTACTTAAAATTATAACAAAAGGTTTCACCTCATATTGCTGAAAACTGCTTAACAATCAGTCATACTGTTTAGGATACATTAAGACATATACAAATTTCACTTCACATCTGTGACATAACCTTTACTCAGATGTGTCACTCTAAGTGTCAGAGAAAAAAGTTCTTCACAAGACTAGACTAATAAGGCTAACAAAGGTCAAATAGCTTCTGAAACACTGTTACAAAAAAAGATGGGATGTTTATGGGATGATGTGTTTATAGATGTCATCCTTGTGAGGATAAACCTTACTTGGAACATTTTTTGCTTTTCCTTGACAGAGTTAGCGATCTGTCTGCGTGTACTGCTGGTGATGGTTCGCCTGGAAAGCTGCCGAAGTCCCTGGTGGTACAAACCCTTAAGTGAGGATTTTTTGGTTTAAACAGTTAAAGTTAAGCATGACAAACAGTGGATAATGATGTAAGCACGAACACCTAAACAGTATACAAAAGTGAAAAGACACAAAATACAGAGTATCGTTATGTGACAGAAAGTTGGCAAAGTTTACTGCAAGCTAACTTCAACAATCGATGAGGGAAAGTGCCATTTCTGTAGCACTGAAGCACTTTGAAGCAAGTGTGCTAAAAAATAATTACTAGTTTCAAAGCATTTATTAATGAAATTGTGACATCTACTGGCCAACCACCTGTATTGCATTTGGGTGGAAGGGTTTCAATCAACAGTGAGTCAAAACAAAGGTCAAACTCACTGCTGTCACTGTTATTTAGTTTAAAAAATGGCGGCACTGCACATACAACCACTGCATATACGTTATGCAATGCAATGTTATGCATATACAATTCAAATTATTTGATGATAGTTTTTGGTTTGGTTTGGTTTTAAATTGTTTGGATGGTAATCTCAATGCAAACTGTTCACCTACCTACCTCAATTCAACCCTACCATTTAAAACACATCTTACCTTAACCCTCAAACTTTAACCTACCTTGATTTCTGGCGTCTGTCTGTCTGTCTCCTTAACATTTATTATGTAGCTTTACGTTTACCACGCATGAGAAGGATTCTGGGAGTTTTTACGCCGTGACAGATAACGTCGCCTTCTTCATGGTGGTCAAGTGAGCCTCGTTGAGTTGAAGCGAGGTGAAGGTCGATACCCTGTCGCGTTTAACGCTAGCTTCGCCCTTAACGTCACTAACTTCACTTCAACCTGACTTGCTTTAATGCTACACTTGTTGCTCAACCTGGCAGACAGCTGGCGTCCTGTCAAAAGGGCAACTGATTTACAGTCATAAACACACAATAACAACATATAAATTATACTATGTATTCCTTGAATTAATTAACTTCACTTTAGTTAATAACTTGCTCTCAACTGCTAGCTCGGTAGCTAACGTTAGCGGCAAGTATTAAAAGTTAAGCTAGGGACCGTTAAGTTACTCGTTATTGTGAGCTATGTTTAATAGTAGTGGCCAAATAATTACACCATAACACCCCCCCATTAACACGTTAATGACAAAACTGGAACATTTTATGGTTAATACAATCGACTGAAAGTCACTCTTACCATAAGTTGTCTGTACATGTTGGCAAACTTCTGTTATGTCTAGCTATAAGGTAAAGGCACTGCACAAGGACGGACACTGACAGTCTGACTACCCACAATCCCTTGGCGGTAGTGCCACATCCGGTCACGTACGCAAATATTTAGGTTTTTAATAAGTAAATAAAAAATAAATGAATAAAGATACTAGTTCTACTACGAATAATAATAACATTAACAATAATAATAATAATATTCAATTGAAAGAAATATCTGCAATAAGACCACAAATTACACCAGTACATTCAGCAAGTTGTTTAATTGGACCCTACAAACCTTATAAAAACCCACGAATTTCAAATTTAAACACTTTACTCAAATTAACTGAATAAATCAAGAACGCATTATTGTAACAGAGGATGGAGTGAAAAAAAGGGAGGAAACTAACACATGTGACACTGTTAAAGTGCATCTCATCTGGTCAATATAAAGAACACAGGATAATCTAACACTCAGACAAAATTGTAAAATAATTTTTGTGCTCTAATCAGCCCAAGACGCTACCCAGTCTATTTGAGTAATGTATATAGTGGTACTGGATAATGTCTCTATTATTAGTAAGCATTAGATTAAAATTTCAAGAAGATGCCTTGACTATCTCAGTCTCTTTATACAACCAGTCACAGCGTAAGGTAGACAACCACACTTTTGTCACTATTTGTCATAAGTATTCTACGACTCTCCAAGGATAAAATACTTCATGTTAAAATTCAGTGCTTACCATAATTAAAAGCACACGAGTTATGATTTTCCCATCCCATATTCAAGGTAATTTCAAAAACCACAGAGGTATGTCAATGAAATATAATGGTACATTCATCAGCAGGACATATTACAGTACATAATAGGGACAAAAACTTGCATTAAAAACACACACATACATCCTTCAACAATTAAGCCATTCGCAAAGCACTGCTAAAATAAAACAGGTACTTTGATAATGTATAGATAAATAATTTTTTTCTAAGACAGGAAATGACATTCTCAGCAGCCGACTTGAAGCTATATGCACAGAGACACAGACTCTCGCATCCTTCTTTTGCTTTAGTTGCCCTACACAAAAACACAGCTTTTGATGAGACACTCAGGACAATGCTGTCTTTACACAGACACACAACACTTACAGAGAACAGTGTATTCTCGCTGAAGTCAACAGGCAGTCCAGAACGGACCCCTCAGGGTCACTCATGCATGCATAGACAGCAAAACGTGATACAGCAACAGTTTAGTTCGGAATATCTGCACTGTTGTTGCGGGTGTCGTATTTATGGTGGATGATGAGCAGAACAACGCCCAGGAAGAAGCAGATGGAGCCCACAGTGATGTAGGCAATGCCAAGGAAGGGGTTCTTCCCTCCCATCCAGGAGATGGTGCTCAGGATCATGCGCTTGCGACCATTAAAGGTGTGCACAGGGTAATCTGATGGTCATATGGTTAAAGAACAATGACTGGAGCTTCTTGCTTCACAGTTATTACATCACATCTTGCAAAGAATCACTCATTAGGACAAAAAATGGGTAAACCCTGAATCATATTCTATCACCATATAAATCCACTGAGAGTCAATGAGCAATAAATTTAAGCACCCATTTACTGGTAAGGTATTCTCTTTGCTTTAAATGGTCAATAATGCCACGTGACTAAATGTGGCCCACATATTCAGTTTAGCTCTGTAGTGTTACACTGGTTTTAGTATAACTATGTTTACTTGTTGGTTTTAGGAACTTGCAGGATTTATCTGCACGACTTGCACGCTTTTAGCTTCTAGGTAGACGACTGGCAATTGATTTTAAATGCAGAGGTATGTGAAAGTTGATTATTTCATTGTCACCTGTAAATGTAAAATTTAAAGATATTCAGTTAAACATCGTGGTCCGACTTATGTCACATTTCTGCTGTGCTGATTCTATGTACTCTGTTGCTTTTCTTGCCGGCCTTTCTTTTTAGGTGGCAAACCATTATAAAAACAAAAAAAAACAAACCATTATAGGCAGTGTTTGCTCAGCTCCACTTCATTTTATGTATGTGACTGAGGGGTTTTCTACCCGGAGGCTATATTAAAAAAATATTGGGATTCAGTCTATAAAATGACCTATTTTGGGTTTTTATACTCAGCATTGTTAAGTCCTAAGTATAGACATTAAAATGCATAACTGGAATTAGCACAATACTCACTTTTGGTTGCCAAGCTAATACTGTATTTGATACTGTTAATGTGTTTTGTCGTTTAACTAAGTTTCGATTTATCACTCTGTAGACAGAATTTGTGAATTCACTACAACTCTGTGTTATTTAAGGTGATCTAATATTAGTGTGTTTCTACATAATAATGTGAGCATTTGAAGCCCTACGTAAGAAAATAAAAATCACCTACTCAGCCCTGCAGACTAAGGCTAACTCTAGACTGATTGTGCAGTGGAGGTTTTGGCTTTGATTCAAAGGATACTGTAAGTGATGTTCAAGATGTATTTGCCTCTGGGTAGAGTGGGGGTCGTGCTAGACTTCTTCTGGATGATGCGATAGAGCTTGCGAAAGGTGGGCAACGCAGCCGTGCGCATCCACACAATGAAGTCTTCATTGATAAAGCCGTTGTTCTCAGCATCTGATGGGTCCAACTCGAACACTGGCTTCCTCCAGTTTACCGGCTTAGATGTGCCTGACAAAGAAAAAGACCTTACTTATGTGTTCATAAGCCTCAAAAGATCCTGCCCACAGTTCTAATTCAGTCTTAAATTACCTTGGAAAGCTACAGTAAGGTTGTTGTTGTTTCCACCAGGGTTCCTGAATTTCACATGCTTGTCTGTCCACCACGCAATTCCCTTCTTTACCAGAGTAATTGCATTTCTGGTGTCATTGGAATCGATGTGATACAACTCCAGAGTGTCTGAAATAAGTTCACAAGTTCAACAAAGTCACAGTCAGCAGTAATACATACACAGCTGAGGAAAAAAAATTGAAGTTGTTCACCATGTCTCACTTACCATTGAAAAGGCTGTTAGCTATGGCACCACATGGAGCGATGGGCTGCCCTTCACTTGTACGGTACGGTTCACATTCCTTGCTTGGGTTCTGCAAAAAGAAGACACTGTGAAACTGATACAAAAGGCATTTACTGAAATTTCTGCATGTTATAATGGCAGACCTTTTCCAAGATTATACCTTTAAAGATGTCTTGTCACCATTCAGTTGGCTGTCATCTCTGGACTTAACATAGCGTCTGTGGTTCTGATAGAAGTTGGATAATCCGTAGTACATGAAGACATTGCTCTGCAGGGGAGGAGAGATCATATTATAGACAGACTGTGTCAGTAAATGCTGACAAGTACTTCACTAAGGTGGCACTTGAGTGATTCTTTGTATCATCAGCTCTATCTGTAGACGTGTTTACGATAGACAGAACTTAATTTTTTAACTACTTTAAATGAAAGGTTCACGGGTGTAAATCACAGGTTTCTAAATGTTCTCAACTAAGCTAAAGCAGAGTCTGCACATGGGACTATGCTCCCATAAACATGTATTTAATTTCATTACCAGCTAGTGAGAATATGTTCACAGGGGCACAGACTAGGGACTAGTGTGCAGCCTCTAAAAATGGCTATTATGCTACATTATAACCCATATCTAAGCTGCACTTAGTGACACTGCTTTGTCTTGTGCGGAAACTGGTGATATAAAAATGCAAACGGCTGACAGCTTTCTATAAGCAATCAATAAAATCCCACTGGAGCTTGCTGAATATATTTAGACTAGAATAATCGATGACAATGACGGCTCCAAACAAACCTTGAGTGTGCCTTTCTTTGGACTCAAAATGGGTCTTAATGGACATTTAATGTCAGGAGGGCAGTTTCTATCTTTTAATGCACTTTAAAGCAACGCTATCAGTCCTGAAGCTGCAGGCATGCATAATTCATTGGGTCTGCATGCTGCACGCTGGCGCTCACCTCAAATGGCTGCTCCAGTGTGAAGGACACAGAGCAGAAGCACGGTGTTGTGCTGTTCCAGGTGAAGTTGTTGGCACAGTTGTAGCATGGACTGTCAACGTCTACACCTGTGTAGTCAATCTAAGAAGTGGGAGATAAGTAGTCATAAACAAAAAAGGCAGAATTGAACATAGTAAGCACTTCTAACTACATGGATGCATACTGTTTCATACTGTTCCATATCCACATACACAGCAATTTGATTCAGTAGAAGCAGATAAACCTATGTCAGTCTAACACAACTGCCTTGCAATACATTTCACTGTTATGAAGGATATATAATTATCAGTTTATGTTATATTTAAAAGAGTTTTAAGAGGTGTTGCTTCTGCTTCTAGGAGCTTATAGAGGACTGTCGTGTATATACATATACATGGGGTGTTACACTACAAGGGGTTTCTAAACTGTTGTCCAGCCTCATTAACATAACTTGGGTACCACACAAAAAAGTGTTTCTAACATTTTGATATGAATATGTGGGCAAAACACTAGAAACACTTATTATTATAATGCCATTTAACTCAGCAGCATAACCAGCTGCAGCTTCCAAATAACTATTAAGTTCCCTTTAACACCTTTTTAAAACAACATCATTATAACCTTCCATTACAGTGCTGCTGTATCACACTGCATTAGTTTTAGCTAGTTAGTTGTTAGCTTTATAAACTGACAGCCGAGTATATACGGTAACTTAACTATGACAGATGCTAACAGTACTGAGAAACAGGAAGCATCTAGGGTGTCACTTGTTATGTGTGTTCTTGCTTGCCCAAACACAAGAGGTTTAACGTTACAGTCAATAACATGGCTTCCTGCCGTGGCTGAAGTGGAAAGTGGAGATAAAGTTAGCTGGTAAAAACACAGGCAGACATTTCGGTTACTGTACCTCGAACTCTTTGATGTTGTTTGAAGTGACGTACAGGCCGATGCCGATGGGGATGAAGATGAGACCGATAACGAAGAAAGCAGGCAGCACGGTGCCAGCCGTGAGGATAGGCTGCCAGGCTGGTAGTCTCTGCTGTTTGAACGCGGTGTTGTCCGGCTTTTTACTTTTCACAACCCCTGCGCCTCCGTGGTTCGAGGCACCCGAGTGGTGTCCGTCCTCTTCCTTAGCGTTGTAGCTTGACGCCATCATGGCTGCAATCCGCTTCGGGCAAAAATAATCTACTTCAGTTGACAGTCGGCGGCTCCGAGTTAATCCCACACGGTGAAAACGAGAGAACACGTTAAAGAAAAGAGCTAAACTGTCAAATGAGGGGAGTTTACCCTCATTCTAATCCAAATATCTACTCATTGTAGTATCGATTCTAGCCGTCTTGTTAATCTTGACCAAGGGAAAAAAGCCGGAAGCAGTAGAGCCAATAGGATGTTGAAACGTAGCAGTTACGTCACTACAGAGAAGGAAGACGCCCATTTACTCACATTGTATGTTGTGTAACATCTGATGATAAATGTAAAGTGTTGGTGACACTTTTAATTCCTGACATGGACTCAGTACGCAATACAAGCTGCAACAAAGAAGTTTTTATTATTTTATTTTTATTTTATCTTTTAAAATAATAAAAAACATTTTTAATTGTATTTTTTTTAAATTGAATTGCCACTGAATACTTGTTTGAATCTATAGCATTCAGTTTAAAACCTGACTTAAAATGATAAGTAGGCTATTTTTTATTTTAGTGTTCAAAATTCAGACAGAAGTTCCAAGTTTCTATTTTTCAAAAACTTTATAAAAATTTAAAAAAAAAAAAAAAAAGGAATTAAAAAATTTTGGCTACCAAGGATAAGCAATAAGAGACTGAGAAAAAAATCTAGAGATATCAAAGAGGTGAACATATATCACATAAATACAGAAAGATGGATATGTTTCAAAGAAAAAATATATATCTAATAACATCAACTCTATAAAGTTAGTGGCATTTAAATACAACTTCTTGCGTTTTGTTTTAATAATTTAATTATCATTCTCTTTCAAGCACTTCCGTCAGCACCTGTTGTTTTTATTGTACTCTACAAATACTTGACTTAAATTTAAGATTATTGTTGCCTTTCTTTGCTTCCACGTACAAGGAAAATAGTTTCACTTTATCACAATTTACATGGAAATTTGCTACAGATTATGAATATAAATTAGTACACTGATCTTTTGTTTCAATACATTTGACTAACAAAGTGAAAAAAATAGAGCAATTCCTTGGTTGATGACTGCATTGTCCAATGTAGCAAGAGTGCTGACTATTTAATAATGTAATAGTGTGATCTACTTTACTTACAGAGATGAAACAGTCGCATGCCATATATCTGGCCTGTATGCAAATTCTCCCTCTGTCTTTGCTGCATATTTTTGTTAATTATTTTCCTACATAAAATGAGCATGTCAAACTACCCTTTGAAATCACATTTATTTAAAATACATTTCAGTACAAATCCTTTACAGAAAAAATAAACATCATTTACATGAAAACAAGAAGTTTGACTTACAATGTGTCCTTATAAAATATTATCAACAAATTCCTTATATGTGAGACAACCACTCAAAGCAAGACACAGTTAGTAGCAGCAAGTGTGATATAATATTTAACCCAAATGTCCATCACAATACACGCTGTAGATACAGAGACAATGTTTCCATCTAAATGTCAGAAATAGATATGAGACAGGCAAGTACAAAAGACTTTACAAAAATTAGAAATGGCTTATTTAATTACAAAACAATGCCTCTGTGCCATGTAATCTCTGGTTGTATTGAGACTTCAGAGCCTTTTCTGTGGGTTTTGTTTTAATCCCACTGAAGCACCATATTTAATTATGTTTGAGTATTTTGTGGGTGCTATTATGTCAGGCTTTTCCCCCATTGTGTAAAGTATTGCTATTCACAGTGGATTTTTTAACTTCTATCCTCATAGACTGACTCTCAGCTCGTGACTCCAGCTTCACTCCACCCGCAATCCCCAGGGATCCCAGCACAGCCTTTCCCGTCTTCAGGCTCTTGGACATTGGGATGCGGGTCAGCCCTGTGCGAGGCGGCTGGGCATCTTGCCCAGTCTGTTGACAATAGGGAGAGAGAGTACAGTTTCTCAGGCAGGAGAATAAAGACAGTGGAGCACTTGAGAGGAACATAAAGAGTAAATAATGGAAAAGGGGCCAAACCCATTACAGGAAAAAAAGGAATTCTGAATTTCTAAACAGTGTAACTGATCATATGTGCTATAGGAACTGTGTGAATGAAAAATGTAAACATTTATCCATTCTTTCACCTCAATCCCAGTGTGTGAGGGCAAGGTTTCAGTGTGTTGTTACTGGTGCAAGGCTGTTTTGTGTCAGCCAGAGGGCACTGAGCCCTGCATGTCTGTTTGTGATTGTAAACACTGTGTTACAACTATAAATTACAGCATGACTGTAGCAGAGTGGCAAAATGCCACATCATTAGCTTTGCTGCTCTGAGGCCTGCATAGGACCATTTCTGTCACGCTATCCATCTGATCCACAAAGAGCATATTATAAGGTCCACTGAAACACTAACAGTGCTGCTTCATCTCCCATTTCTAGCGGAGTGGGATGAAACTGATAGTGGACATATTTACCTTGTAAAATATCACTTGTATAATACTGAATATAAAACCATCAGCTTCAAGACAATGAAGAGAAGACTTCAAGCATTTTCTTTACATTTTGGGGAAATAAGTGTTTTCGCTTTCGGTCTGAGAGTTACATGAGAAAACGAGTTCCTCTCTCACGTTTGTACAATAAATATAAGCCTGCAGCCAGCAACCGGTTAGCTTAGCTTAGCACAAAGTCTAAAAACAGGTTGTTACAGCTAGCTTGGCCCTGCCCAAAAGCAACAAAGTCTTGCTATCACCTGTAAAGCTAGATATAACACACATTTAAGTCTTCTCTGCTTATTATGGTAAACATCAAGTGCAAAAATGACAATTTGACATTTTACAGGGGGGTTCACTGTAGCCAGCTATCTACTGTAGAATAGCAAATTATCATTTGTACACTTTGGTTTTTGTATGGATTAAAAAATACAAGCTATAATGTGATCAGAGGTGCTTAACAGTTACTACAATGGAAGTAAATTGAAATTTCTGTACTTATTATCATTCTAAAATGATCTACTTTTTACTGATTTCTTTGGTAGCAAGTACCTCCAGTTAACTGTTGATAGTAATATACTGTGGGTGGATTGCTGTTGGGCAGGTATCTAAAAGAATGGACAAACTATTTAAAGGTATCTATAGGAAAACATGTTATTCCATAATTTGGATGAACAGAACCTTTAAGTGTAACTTACCATGCTTTGTGTGTGTCTTGGAGTGGTGGATGCAACAGGGGAAATAGTGATAGTGCTCATCACTTTGCTCTGTGTGCTCCTGGTGGCAGTGGTGGTGATTTGGCGAGGGGAGCGTAAAACCGTCCCAGTCGATAAGGTCATTTCCTTGCTCTCCGTTGCAGCAGTCACTGGCCTGACTACCATCTTAGGGGTCATGCTGTTGCCGAGATGAATGTGGATCTTGTTATCGTCTGTGGTGGTGATGATGCTGGTGTTGTTGTGGCCCTTCCTAATAGGCATTGGGACCATCTGCTTCTCGGGGGTGACCTTGAAAACAGCTCGGCCCATGGTCATCTCCTGAGGTTCTGGGGAAGCAGATGCTTCAGGCACTATGGCAGTGCTCACTGTCATAATAGAAACAGGGGACAAGGGCCTTCCCGAGGCAGAGGAGGGGACTCGGGTGCTTTCTGGAGACTTTGCTCTGGATATCGTTGTGATGGTGACAGGAGACTTGGCTCTTTCAGGGCCCTGAGGTCCAGTGGTGGACCTTCTCTTGTTAGTTGGAGCAGAGTAGGTGGGAATGATTGTGATCCTGGATTTAGGTTGAGCTGGGTTGGGACTGAGGGGGGCTGAGCTAGTGAAAGCATCCTCAGCAGTGGGGCTGCTGATCTCAAGAGTGGCCATGTTGTTTTGGTGGTCAGGTGTTACACGGATATGCAAAGGCTGCCCTTGCTTTTGGGACATGGTCAGTTGAGAAGGCAAATGATCTCCATTGATTTGCAGATGCTTTCCCAAGTTAGACTCTTGAGGGGTGTTATCCTTTTTCCTCATCCAGGGAATCCAGGATTTCTTCACACCAAGGTCGCTACCAGATGATGGGCAACGCTCAACACCACTCTTCTCTGTTGGTTTCTTCAGGCACTTCTGTCTGAGGTTGTTCATGATGTGATTCTCTTCTTGAACAGACTTCCTGATAAACACGGCTGGGGTATCCTCCTCTGCTGGCCCAGTGGATGCTGCCTCTGTCTGCACCCCAGTGGAAGTCACAGCAACATCCACCATTCTCCTCCCTTTCAAACTGGGCCTTAGTGCTCGACTGTGACGCTTTGCTACCTCCAGTTCTTTGGTGAGATGGAAAACTTCAGTGCCCATGTTCTTGGCTCTCTCCTCTTCCTCCAAGAACCTCTGCTGCAAGACAGAGTAATCTACTTGGAGCTGAGAAAGTTGGTCTTCCTTGTGCATCAGTTCATGGATCTTCTCCTTGAGGGCTACAACATCTGCCTGTAGTTCCCTGGTTTTGGCCTCCTCTCTTTTGCATCGCTGTCGTAGGTCTGCTTCCTGGCTTTCCTCCTCTCCTTTCTCAATTGCTTTGTTCCGTGCTATCTGACCCCTCATTTCCTCCACCTGTTGAGAAAGAATGTTGGCTTTGTCTTGTTCGGTCATGAACTTTTTCTCTAACATGTCGTACTGATCCTCGGTTTTGATCAAATCTCCCTCGACTACTTCAAGTTGTTTGAGACGCTTTTTCAGGCGCTCAATTTCAAATGTCAGCTCCTTAACTTTGTTGTCTTCTCTTTTGACGGGGTCAGACAGTCTTCCTGGTTCGCATTTCACTGAATTCTTCACTGATAGCTTTTCTGCTTGCTCGAACCCATCTAACCTCTTTTTCATTTGACTGACCTTAGAATTAAGATCTTTAGTTTTATCAATTTCATAGGCTAGCTTCGTGCTCAGCTCCCCCTTTTCTATGGTTAGAGTCTCTACTTTGGTTTCCATCTCTGATTTCAACTTTAAGAGCTTTTTGCTTTCCTCTATCAGTTTCTCAGTCACCTCCATAACTTTACCCTGCTCAACTTTGACCATCTTGCTCAAATCCTCCTTCTTCTTCTCGTCTGACTTCATTCTTTCCATCAGGGTCTTTCGTTCTTCCATCAGAGCAACAGTCAGTGATTTGAGCTTACTCAAGTCATCCTTAAGGCTCAGCTCAGACTTTTCTAACTTGAGTTCAGAAGACTCCACCTCTTTCATACGGATCCTGAGAGCTACAACTTCATCTGAGAGCTCTTTGGTG